ACTGTCACAGGAATAAAACTGACACGCGTCCGTCCTCCGTAAGCGCCACCGCGCGACTGATTAAGATTGTCCAAGTCGTCATGGCCGATTTTTTCACATTTTTTCAACATAGTAACTAAATAAGACGCAATAACAAAAGTTTGAAAAGTTGTCGACCTAGAAAATACAAAGTCCTATCTATTAGTATATATTTTAAGTGTAAAATGTTAAAAATGAATATATGAGAGTAAAACAAAAAAGCCGTCGACGTACTTCTTGGGATTTTTTTTTATCGGACAAACTATGCAATATCGTGTTTTGGAAAAGTTGTCGCCCTAGTTAAAGACATTAACTTACTCGTACAATTTTTTGTTTGCTAAAATATCTTTTCATTTAGAAGCTATCTGCAAACAAAATCGGTCAAATATCGACAATTTGGGAAATCATGGCCTTAAAAATTGTAGATCAGAGCCAATTGTACTCTAAAAGTTATACACTACCTTAGGCTTCAAAGTTTAAAACATTATAAATTGATGCTCAGAACTTTTTATTAGTGATGATAACTACTTGCATTAGGTATTTTAATAGCTCGTTTGAAAACAGTGTTGTGGTTTTATGATCGCGTTGCTACAAAATGCGTTCTAGCTTTACATTTTCACCAAATTGGATTGACACAGACAATAGTGTTCATCCCGCTTCCTGGAAGACAATGCGCAGTGGCAGGCCAGCTGTCCAGCACACAAGGCTGGCCTCGAATAAAGGGCCGTGTACACGACCGCATCTGGGGTTACACGCTAATTCGAGTCACGCGGCCGGCGCCGAAACACTGACCAGCGTGGGCCGCTGGTGCGACTTAATGACCGCAATTACAAGAGAAATATGGCTGGACGTGGAAGAACACCGAAGTTATTATTTATTATGTCCTTTCTGTATATGCTCTTCAGGATATTATGGATTGTGCTGCTCAATGGAGGCGTTTAACGCCATAATGTTGAGTCTATAGTACAGTATAGACATGGCCTTTGTGGGTCACCCCTCTTAATTAAAAAACTGAAGCTGAAAGTGATATGTTAAAATGTATTTACTTTTTACCTGCAATTCTGAACGAGAAACCACACCGAGAACCTACATTAGTTAAACAAGCAAATGAAACGCACACACATACCTAAGTACTCCACATTTCAACTTGAGTTCTAAAATGTAACTAAGGCTGCTATATACTTGAGTTCAAAGCGAGTTTGCTTTGAATGTTGGAGCAGCGGGAAGTCTGTACAAATACTCGAGATGAATAAATATCGTGACGTCACAGACTCGTCCCACTTAAGCCGTCCATTAAATGTGTTATTATGTGTTACAAAGGACCGAAGCTCCCTTTGCGTCGGGTGCTTTGTGCATGGGATTGCAATCCCATTTATTTGTTTGTTAAAGCACAGATTACAGACATTTCTACAATTCAAATGCGTGTAATATGTTACTACATCCTTTTGTATATTATGTTTGTTTTGCACCATTAAATCAAGGCACTTAAAACCGCTAACATTCTCATCTTTATAATTATTTAGTACGAAAACTTTACATTATCTATTGTTATTATCTACGGGTATGTATATTATGGGTACGTCTACGTATTTATTTTGCAGCTAATTAACAGATGTTTGTTCAATTACATAGAAATATTTTCTTCCCATGACTGAAGTTGTGCTTGTAACAAGTTTAAACACCTGTTATTTAAAATTTTACCCAGGGGAGTAGGAGTTAATTGCATTTGGTTAAAAAAATAATTAACATTTTCCACAAAATATCAATCTACAGAAGTGTTTTTGCCGCGTTTAAATGGTAGGAGAGCCTTAACCGCGGCCCTTTAGCACGCCTTACACCGCGGTTTCAATGTTATTTCGCATTCGGAACAATTCTTTTATTCCTAGTTACAATTCTGGTATTTTATACATCTTTCAACTAAAATGAACTTTGGCTTGCAATAATTTAAGTTCATTCTCGCTCATTTTCGCTATTAAAATTCCTGAATTCGTTGCTGAAGCGAATGGCATTTTATGTAAAAGGTTTATGGTATAGTTTTAAGTGTATGTTAAACGTGGGTAGTGGATACAAATGCAAATGAAATGCTCTAGTTAGTGGCTTTTGTCGACGGATTAATGTCTGAAATGCATTCCGCTCATAATGAGCGAACGATGTTTTGTTTGTGGATGAAGTTTGGAAGTTTCATTGATTTCAATGCGAAGTTAGTTATTCATTCATTAGTTAGTTCATTCGCTCGTGTGAACATCAGGGTGCATCAGAAATATAGGTATTATAGAAGTTTCTCAGAGCAAGATATCTTTTGCATAAATATTTTACTTATCAATGTTAAAAAAATCAGATAATTTACAGGAAATAGCATTTTAACAAACTCCAATGTATTGTCTACGTGTATAATCACGTGTGTATCAGAGGCTTAAGAAATATTTGAAGATGTCAGTACACAAACCTTTGGTAAGCAAATACATTTGAAATGATGTACTAAGCTAACCGAATGTTTGTGTCATCATCAAAGTCTTCTGTACTACATATTTGAAGTCCATTTATGTAACCATTAAGCCTATTAGGCGATGTTAACAACATTAAGAGATTGGTCTCATGGTAAACCTTTCGAGCGAGCATAAACTAAACCACTCCTATTCACAGTTAAATTGCGGAATCTTCATTTACAACATAATTTATCAAGTAAGCCTCAGTATTGTGGTTTGACAAAGAAAATGTAGGGCTACCCACGGCTCAGCGGACCGCAAGCTGGGTCCCGGCACAATGGAATTAGGCCGGCACATAGAGGTGGGATACCTTCGCAGCGCGGCGGCTCTAGTGGCTCAACGAATTCTATTTTGATCAGAAGGACAGGTAGGTATTCAACTTAATTTCATTATTATGAAACATAAGAGTATATTTTCAAGATTGACTTTTCCCCCTGATTCTGTTTTAAAGGTAACGAAAGTATTAAAATGAATTATGTGCGGATTGGCTTGTCGTACAGGGGTACTACACGGTAAAATAAATCTCTTCGGCGAAAACAGGATAATTCAGATCGAACTTCACTTGGTAAGTTCGTTTGATCATATAAAAATTAATCATTTATTTTATGAAGTCGTCGACGATAGGTAGCACACACTATGGACTGTGTGAGCAGTGTGAGCACTGCTTAATTAATAAATTAATATTAAAGATACTTATTTAAGTACGTAAATAGTAAGTGCAAGTTTTTACTATCAACGGCACTTAGCTCTACATTCAAGGTGAAAGAACTTAAAATTATCTACCAATTATCTTTTAAAATCCTGAAGCCTTTAAAAAAATCTAATAATAGAATGAATTTGTAACTAAACGACCCCAAATGAGAATACGATTTCTAAGAAGCTTATTCAATTAACTAAGTCATCTGCCGTCCTTCGCGATCCTTCTAATTAATCTCAATTTATACGCATTAAACATGTACAAAATAATTACAGAGTCAACGGCGCAGGGTCAGTGGCCCGTAAATCTTCGCGGGGACAGGGACCCAGGTTCAGTCCCGAGTCGCTCCCGTACATTAATTGCATTTCAAGCCTTGTAATTGGTACAGCTGGCACGAAAGGATATTTAATTAAATTGTGAATATTAGAACACATGCGCCCATATAAGATTAGTCATGTAAAATCGTACAATATTACACACGGTGCTGCTCGCCAGTTTTGTTACTTGAACTTAGCTAAACACGCTACCGCGTAGTCTAGATTATTAAAACTTAATAAGATGAAATGAATGAAGACCAAACCTGAGCAGTGGATTACTTATTTAGAATTTAGTTTTCAGTTTAAAATTATTTTCAAAAAGCCGATACTTAATGCTCGAAAGAATTTAAGAGTAGATTAGTTGATTGAATTCAGAATCCTTTAAATACTAGTATATACGATATTTCGTGTTTCAGGGTAGGAACAAGAGTGATGTCTCAAATGACGTCAACTCAGCATTGGGATAATTACACAGCAATACATTTGCTGACGGTACAAGCTGAGACGGCCTCAAATTATGACGTTGGCTCCAATTAAGGAAATCGCTGGCGCCGCCTGGCGGCCGACAAGCGAACGGACGCAGATTGACAACCATTGTTTTTGTAAGTTTTGTTAGCGAAAATCTGATGAGGAAAAACTTTATAAGGATTAAACTTGCAAAATTCTCAATGGGGCAAAAAAATATTTTTTTTTCATACAAATATGTACTCGTATATCCCAAGTCCGACCGCAGAGGTATCATTAAAATCTCCAAGTAAGAGCTAAATAAATTACATAAAACAGCGGTGACGTCATAACTTGCTATTGCAAAAATATTATTATTTTAAAATTGGACATAAAATGAACATTTATAATGTGATTTCAAGAGGAAACCTTACGCTTTGCAAAAGCTCACGAGGAATAAACTTCAGTTCAACTTCCGCTAAGCTTTTAAAAGTTGTCAAGCGCAAGCTGCGCAAGTAATGAGTAATGACGAAAGATATAATATTATCCCCGCTTATTTTTCAAGAACTAAATATTATATTTCTGTAAGTTCCAAGCGGCGAGCCAATGAGCCAAGTCATCACAAGTTGGGCCAACTCTAGCAGATACGAGAAATTGGTTTGTGGCCGCTCGTACGCCATGTTGGATGTGCACCGACATTAATATTGCTTGCCTGCTCTCGTCCTGCATCAACCAACAGATTGTGTCAGATACATACATTTCTAGATTTTGAAACTAGACATCTGGTTTCGTGTAACCTAGACACCTAGATTTACCGATATTAACTCAAGAATGCGAATTCTAATCGAAAATAAAGCCTTTTTTCTCCTTTAAAGTCCTCAATCTGAGAGAAATTTAAGCTTGTTTTAAAGGCGGGTTTTACCACAATAACCCAATGGTTGATAGAGATGGAACTAGCATTCTCTAATTGGCAAACCGATGCATGATTCTTTAGGTTATAGCCGCTTTAAATGTAAATTATATTGTATAAATAAACCATACCATGTTTAAAGTATCTCGTGCATGCTTTTATGAAAGCTGACTCTGTAGGATCGGCGAAGGGCAGTCACTGTACCTAGAAAGAAAATAAAACAACGTCACAATAATATCACAGAATGAGCTAGTATACTCCTTTACAGCCAGACATTTTGTTGCTAAATAGTACCTAATTTCAACGTAGCACAAAGGGCAATTTCAACAATATAATCTGCCCAAATATTTTAGAAACAGCACGCAATTTTCACCCATTCACGAGTGATCTGAATAAATCCGAGTTAATTAAATGGCGCTCTAATTAGTGTTGTAATTGGCCCGGCCGGGATTCGAACCTGCGGTTGCGGCGGCTATCATGGTCGGCGCTTAATCAAAAGCACGTTAGTGACTACAGTGGGAAGAGCTAATTAAGTTAGGTTTGTAAACCGGTTCTAGTGTATCTTCAATTAAATTAAGCAGAACTTTTTGGATAGAAGAATTATCTTTTTCCCTGGGTTGTCTAGAAAAGATATCGTTTCCTAGCTACCATTCTCTAATATGTAGCACACAACATAATGCAACATGACGTTGAAATCCTAGACGAGACCACAATTAATTTTGATGAGAAATAGGTAGTTGAAGGAAAAGCAAACTGTCTAAAACGATGTTTCCAAGTGTTCTTACTTATGTAGATGTGGGTTCGGTTAGTTTAACATTTATAGAGATACATAATGTGTATCTTCTGTCGGAGAACTCGCGTGTAATTTATACGAGTAAGTAGATATAATATTTCATACCCGAGATGACTCGGCTTTAAGTTTGATATCTCAAGATAGAGTTGAGAGCAGTCGACTAATCACTAACTCGTAGTTCAAATATTAGCAATTGAATCTTCTGCTGTACGTAACTTTGATCTTCAGACATATCCTATGATACCTGTTATATTAAAGTGGGATGTGTTAGCATAGTTTATACTTTGTGTATTCCACGATCTGGCCCTAGGGTTGATTCCCGTTTATGACATCATAATTTTTTTAACATGTAAATACCGAAAAGGAAGCCAGAAATGTATACACTATACATACTTAATCACGAAAAAAAATTAGAGTAACAACATTTTTTACGTTGTTTACACAGTAAAATCTGTAAAAAGAAACAGCCAGTTCCCACAATTTTAATTACCGCGTTGGAACAGTTTGCAACACAATACCTTCACAGCCTTAGTTATTTCCGAAGCAACAGTACGAAATAACGCAAAATGGAGGCATCGAGGAGCCTTACAACCTCAAATTACTGCTGGATATGGAAATAAAATATGGGAACGTTCTTCAAACGAATTTTGCTTTAAAATGCATTTTGTATTCGGTGTTAAAGTTAATATTACGAGCGAACTGCAAGATGAGCGCTGGAAATATTTTTTTTGATTTCGCGCAACTCCGAAGCGACTTATGCGAATTTGTGGTAGCGAAATGAAATTCAGTATAGCACTTCTCGACAGTTAATTTGAATTTTAATGTAGGTACTCCATTTCAATGTGTTACTTATGTTTTAACACGTATTCCTTCCAAAACGAAGTAGACAGACATGAGTTACAATTTCAGGTGCATTGCATGCAAAAGTACACATACTTAAATTATACATAATAATTGTTTGTGAATGACTTACAAATGACAGTATGGTCTGGTGTCACGCCATTCCCCAAACACGATTTATGAAATAGATACATGTGCAATTGAAACCACATCAGACGACAATACATTTTCGTAGCAAAATAAATATACATACTAAACTCACTTAAGATACCACAGCGTTCACCTTGATACTTTGTCTGTACTTTGACCTTCAGCGCCTTTATTTATTCATAGAAACCAACAGTGAACATTGATAAGAATAAGATTTTTCTCGCAGTACAAAATTACCTAGCGGTGGCGCTTTATTAACATGCTTTTATTTTATTTTGTAGCTACATGTCTATAAATGCTCTGTAAAAGCATACATCGAAATCCTTTTAAAACAGACAACCCCCAAACCTCGTCTTTAAATAGTAATTCGATACGTTTTCATGTACATTTTAATGATTGCATCGCAATAATCCCCTTCCGAGTAAGCGCTCGATACATGCGCCGCTGGCCGCAAAGCCGAATGTTTACTGGACGCAAACACTGTTTACTAGCACAGGGCGGGGAAAACGGTTTACATTGGAAAAAAAAAAGCTTAATAGTAACCATTTCTTTTTAAATGTATCAACATGGAACATAATTTTAAACTAAGATAACTTATAGACACAGTTTATTCTTTGACAATACAAAGAATATTAAACAACGAAGGTATTAGGCAGTAGCTAATAGCAAGTGTAGATTATAAGTCACTAACGACACATTTTAAAATAACAATTAGTATAAAATATACTACATAGAAAAGCAAACTCATTTCTAAAACACATTTTGTACAATCACATTTTAAATAGTAAAGTAAATACATGTTAATTTTATTTAACTTAAATATGTATTACATCTATATTTAATTAGTTATTAGGTACTACACGTTTACTTTAGTTTCCAAATTATGGCTAGATCTAAAATGGAATTGTAGTATGGAATGGAATGGCTGTTGTCCCAAGGCTACGCGCAAAGCATCGAAATATAACATCGGCAGTCCCACTTCGTCCGCTCCGAAATATAGAAAACGTGATTTCCAATTCCTGAAATCACTCTTATATTATTTCCTGAACTGAATTGAATTGAAAATCAATTTGGTGCATTATTTCTAGAACATTTTCGCTGCAGCTCCGTGTATTTCTCAATTTACATTACAATAAGAAGAAGAGCTCGAATGCTCTCAGGGAAGTTGCAAAGTGTATTTTTTACAGCGATTCAGTATTCATTTTGAAATTAATTGCATTGGTCTGACTTTTGCTACACTTTATCTTATATATTCTATTACACTTAAAGCTACGAGTACATAATATACAACAGTGGGTTAATAGGGTGTAGAAAAGGGGTGTAAGACAGCCGAATTTTCGAGCGCATTTTGTATACATAGAGCTGGCACTTAGAAAAATTTTGACGGTATGCCATTTTCATGAAAAAAAAAATAGGTGTGATATTTAGAGCACCCCCGAGCGACACCCGGACCGAACAGTGTTAAGCTTGATACCTTCTGTACATTCTTTAAAGCATCTTCTTCGTTCTTCTTTCATGAGATGACATGACGATGCGTGTGCCAGAGAGAGCCGCGTGTGTCTTATGATAGATTATCAGCCACACTACCAATAAGAGCACACGCAAGGCTCTCCCTGTCTGACACTAATGTAGTAACTTCTGAAGCCTTCTTTCTTCATTGACAATCTTCCAACTCAAACTTCTTCTCTTCTTTTCATACAGCTCTTACCTAGCTTGCAAATCACGATAAAAGAAGATCACATACGATCAAATTCTTCTGCTCTTTAGGTAGCTTATTATACAATAGAACAAACCAGTCTCTATTTATTTACCCTATGAATAGTCGCTTGGAAAAAAACATAATTATGATAAAACTGAAAATGTATTCTTCTTATTCTAAATAAGTACCTATAGGTATAGTCTATACATCCTATTTAATAGTAACTGGTTGCAATAAACATCAATGTATGCGTACCGCAGCATATTTTTGCAATATTGCACTACATTTCAGCATTTAGCTCGCTCCATGATCTATTACGATAAAATTTATCCGGAAGCCTGAAGCCCTAGGGCTTCTCAATCACTGTCAATACATTCTGCGGCTACAAATGAAACAAAAAACATCTCCGCGCTCAAAGCGGCGGAAATCTAAAAATTCAATAACAAATTCAATCTTCAGTGGAAAATATCTGAAGAAGAGGGCGAAGCGTACCCCTCCATAAATCTGGATGGCGGTCAAATGTCGGAAAATGACCGGTTAGCTTCTATTGGGAGGGGGATGATTTATACTTCGACTGAGAAGAGCCTTTAGAAAAACGATGGTCTATTATAGTTATTCGAATGGAAATTAATAAAGCTTCAATATTCACTCATTTATAGTGTGATTAGGCACTTTCCTTATAATAATTTCAAAGCAACTATTAGAAAATGGCTTTTGCTGAATGCTTTTTACACTATTGACGAATTCATGAAGTATAACAAATGAGTGCACTGCTTGATAGGACACAGATTGACTGACTTTGAATTTATGTACCTATTATAGTATAAGTGACGACCATCTGGGATTTAATCATTGTGTTCTGTTTTATTATAATTTATCTTGAATGCTGACATGAATTATGAATGAAACAATTAATTGAAATGTAATTTAATTTAATGTAATTTATTAAAAACTGGTATTATCAATATTTGCATGCTATGACTTATGGCTGAACAGGAACTGACACTTCGAAACATGAAAATGTAAAAGACCCATTGTAACCCTGTTTATGCAAATAAATAAATTTGAATTTGAATTTCAGGGCAGGTATGTACCATCCTAAATTGCAGGTGCGATTACAGTCAAATACCTACTTTATGCTGTATAAAAAATATATGGGTTGCAGCAGAAGGATCGAACTACAGTAGATGACCTAAATATTACCTAGAAGATTAATAAGTCTTTCTTAATAAGTACCTAATTTAATTCGAATTTACAACACCTTTATTCAGATGCAACGATACCACATGCTATCGTTCAGCAGTCGCGTAGCAATCGCTTTTCCGTCAAACTATTTATCGCCTATAGCCGTAACGGAAGCAAACCTTTCGCTGTATCGCGACTACAATGTTTTACAGCCGCGATAGTGCAGTTGATGGCGGCTGGCGGATGCTGTGAGCTTTGTAAAAAGCTTTAAAAGCCACTGATATCGCTTAAAATGCAATTTCATTAGCTTATAAATATATATTATCTTTCCTAATACTGAAATACGAAAATATTGTACTTAACACAAGAGATCTACGAACGTATGTACAGTACAGTTATCAATACAAAGGCTGGAACTTAATAGTAACTGTTCATAAATGCACAACTTCAGGTATATTCTAATTAGTCACTTAATATAATAAATTGGTGAGAATTAATTAATGTCTGTTGTTACAAATAATGTAGTTTCCAAGTATG